GCTAAATATTGTGCAGGCTTCATTTAGCACAGATGAAACCATGACTCACTGTGGACTCATAGAGCAAGTGAGTCACGTCGCAACCCAAATCATTTTCTCCGGCTGCTGAGTGAGTTATCCCAACAGCTACCGGCATTGTGTTTCTGAAGCCTCCAAACCTTTTAGTCCCATTCTGGTGTATTATGTTAATTGGTCCTCGATGATTCCAGGGCTGGACCGACTGCAGATTGGACTCCCCGATGCTCCAAGGCTCATTAAACATGTGATTGTTCTTGTCATGTGGAGAGACGTCAACAAGAGACGCGTCAGCTGTTGTGGATCTTTGTTTAATCGCAGATCAGAACCTCAGCTTAAGGGAGCTTTTATTTTGATAGGAGGCATGGGGATTTGTTTTTTTGTATATAAATTTAAAGCTGTGCTAACTGATGTTTTACAAGAGACTACATCACATGTTTGGCAGCACTGCTGATTCCCCCTCAGCTGCACAAAACATCTCCAACCTCTACACAACTGCATATGTTCACGTGGGATGATGGAGAGCGCTCAGGCAGGTGTTGAAATCTGATGAAAAATAAGAACGGGCCCCTGGTTTAGCACTCCACAGCACCACACTGTGTCTATGAATCTGAAAATACCAACAACAATAAAGCCACTGAAGCTGAACTGCACTATTGCCCAGAAAGCTGACGAGAGAGCCGAAGCGTTCAGGTGAAAGCGGCGATGACGTTCCTGCAGGTGGATTAGCCGCTCCTTAAGTTCTAAGGACCACCTGACCTCAGCGCTGTGCTGGACGCCCTGATTTATTTTTATTAAATTGACCTATGAGCTCAATTCCAATCTCATCTGGCAAAAAAACATTTACTAATTTAATACAAGATTACACTCTAAATCCTTCAGTGCAAGTTCATTAGCTCCATTTTCACGGCGGCGACATTTGTCTCATTATCTCGGAAACTATTTCCATTTTGTTGGTGCCGTTACTGCCCCGTCATCGCTTCTCCGAGCTGTCGGATGCTGACGAAGCAGGACTTGAACGCTGTTCTGTTAATAAAGATGAATTTCATGCAGAAATTGGCTGAATGTTGATGATCTCTCCCCCGTCCTCCGTTTGTTCGCAGCTCGGAGACATTCAGCCCGAGTTCAGCCAAATTTCATTCGTCAAACATTAAGAAGCAGGGTCCCTGTGACCAGCCAGCTGTTCTGCTACGCCATTTCCTTTTTCTTCCTCTGTGGAGGACTACCTGGCTGTGCTTTACACTCTTCTACCCCAGCAGCATTTTTCACATTTCCCCCGGTGAGTGCTCAGTCATAACATGCCTGCTGCCCTTTGGAGCATCTCCTGACCTTTCAGTCTGGACAGATCTTCTCCTGCAGAGAAAGTTGGGCTCTAACCGGAGACCAAGGCTTTCCGAGAGGTTTAAACTACGGCTGTCTAAGTGTCGGAGGAGAAGGCGGGAGGGAAAACATCTCCGTGTAGCTTCAGATGACATTTCAAAGAAAGTATGTGTGAAAATAAATCGTCTGAAAGGAGCTGGCACCTTTAAGCAGTCACAATAACTGAAGATCCACCAGGAAGCACATAGTTTTACTTTGCAGCATCTATAGGAAAGAAAATCTTGTTCTCAAACCGCTGCAGTCTTAATATGTTCCAAAATAATCCACATGGACTTTTATCTATCCTGACTTCTTGCTTTGATTTGCAACAGGATGTCCATTTTAAACCCCTCCCACATCCTGTCTCCTAAAAAACGCTGTAAGCTGCCATCAGCAGTCAGTGTGCTCTGGGTGAGGCATATTTCTGCCCTGAATATAAATGCTAAGTGGAGACGCATTTTAATGAACCTTCAAACCAGCAAAATTTACAGTCTCTCTTAACCCCAGTGTTTGTTTTCATGCAACATGCTCTCCTAAGTATGATTTATTGCTCTGTTTAACAAATCCCGACACTTACAGGGCACCTGTGCTGCTCACTGCTGACTGTCCTGAAGTAGCTTTGCATGATTCACGGCTCAAAATAACTCTTCTGCACTTTACACTGGGCCTGAGTGCAGCTTCTCACTGCACCCGTCTGAAATGCTGCCCTCCGATCCTCTAACCGGGTCTCCTCCTCCACAGATTCTGTGATTTGTTTTAAACAACAGATCTTTACAGGTTAGCTCTTACCCTTTGTTATGGGCCTTAGTTTGAAACTGTGAGTGTGGACATGTGTGCTGTATGTTCAAACGTGTCTACTTTTCTTTATGTGTGGCTTTTATTCAAACGTCAAAGTTTGAAATTCATTTTGTAACTCGCCGTACAGATGAAGTTATGGATGATTAACTGTGACATCATGCAAACATCATGCGAAGCTGAAGAAATCTGGGCTTTCAGGAAACTTAAACTGTGCCGTTTGCAGTTTGGCCTCCTGCTCTGACTTCTGTGGTCCGAACAGGGTTTGATGTACCTCGTTCAAACAGGGGAAGAGCTCAGAGGGAACCATTAGCTGGGTCCTCTGTGCTGCCTCAGCACTGTGGAAAAGGAGCATTTTTGAGCTCCACATCTTTTTAACAGGTGATTTTAAATGTAGAGAGGTGAGGTAGGAGACGATAGTGTCGCTGTCTGAGGATGGAAAAATACAGAGAGCGACTGTCTCAGTAGGAAGCAGAGCTCAGATGAGACAGTTTCACTTAGAGAGCGAGAGCTACACGGGTGTTTGGAGGCTGGACTGGAAACAGTGCAGATTTTAGGGGTCACGTCAGCAGCAAAGAGACAAAAAAGGTTGAAATTTCACAACAAAAAAGCAGCTATTATATTACAGTGTTAGTGGATGAAGTGAAGAGTTGGAGACTTTTGCATTAATCTCGCCAAAGTCTTAGTGGGGGGATAAATGAAGGGTGCACATGGTCCTTGTGCTCAGATGAAGCGTCAGGTCTTCTTAGGGAGTAAAATTAGTCTTTTTTGAGAGATTTCAACAAACCTGGAAACATAGCAGAGCGCTAGCATGAAAACCCCCGGGACGTTTATCTGGCAGACGCTCGATTGGATTTCATTCCTCACGGGTCCTGATCCCAAACATTTTTCAGCAGGGAGAGGGCAGCAGAAAGCGTGGAAGCACCGGATGATGGCAGCAGATTTAGTGAAGACACAGTCCCTGGAGGGGGTGGCTGCTGCATCAGAGAGTAGATTTTATGTTGCGTTCAGAAAACATGGCAGCTCATGTAGTTTGGAGAGCTTAATGTGTTACGGGAGGATGCAGGGAGAGGTCTGAAAGGGAAGGATTGATAGGGAGGCCTGTTCTGTCGGGGTTTGTAGGGAAATGATGACGAGAGTGGTACAACTGCACAAACCCGGTGATAAGCCAGAGGTCAAAGGTTCATGCAGCCCTGGGGGCGAGGCTGCTGCTACACTTGTGCTGGAACTTCATTTCAATACAACATGACAGCTGTGAGTCATTTACAAACAGGACGGGAGCAGCCGGTTCGTCACAAGCAGAAAAGAATATAAACGTATGTCATACATGCATCATACATACTTACTGTTGTCTGGCAGTAAGAGTCTGTAGGATGGAAACAGGCTTCAGTAACTGACAGGCTCTGATGTAAGACTGTAGACTTGTATCAAGACAACTGACTTAAAGAGATAAAACCAACCGGACTGACAAACCTTTGTTTCTATGCTCTTTACTGTAGCGTCACATCTTTCACAGGGAGCCTGACATCCACAGTTCTCAAGATATCATTTTCATTTTGGTTTTAATGGACTTTGACCTTCATTGTTAGCCCAATGTCAAAGCAGACCTTGAAGAAAAGTGTCAAGAAACAATATCGAATAATAAATCATACGACAGGACATGGAGAGATCTTTGCAATGCACTTGTTATTTGATTTGAGTTTTAGTTTTAGTGTAGCCCTCGGCCTTCTGGGGGCGTTTAGTGAAAACTGGATATGCAGATTTCACGGAGGAGTGTTGTGCACGTATCTGTGATCTATATTTCATGTACTGTCAAAGTGCCTGCAGCTGAATCAGGTCCAACAGTAGAAACAGTCATGTGATAGAGCTCATGGATCACGCTGAAACCCCTGCGTGCTGTCCGTGGTCCTGAAACTTGACGAAGGTTCAAATCCACCATCTGACCAGAGCGTTGGCTGGCGTGGGTTACTCCAGCTTCCTCCCACAGTCCAGACACATGCAGGTAGTGGGGTTAATGTTTGAGTGTGTCTGTCTGTGTGAGCCCAGCGACAGACTGAAGACCTGTCCAGGTGTACTCCGCTTCTCGTCCTATCACCGCTGGGATAGGTGATAAGCAGAAGAGAATGGATGGATTTTAAAAGAACTCAAAAAACAAATTTTTCCTTAAAGTTTATTAACATCAATGAATTCATCGTACTTGGAGGTTGGGAGGACGAGGCGAGGGGGTTGGCTCTGAAACCCTAGGTGCTGATCTGATTGGCTCGTGTCTTCACAGGATGGTTTATGAGAGCCTGTATTTTCTTCTCAATGTGTCGTTTAGTGTAGTCTTATGTGCGGGATATTGTAGTGTGTGCAGTATTCGCTCGGGTTTATTGGCAGTTGGTTGATGGTTGGACAGCTGAGCGGGTGGTCCTCACATGATTCCGATGAATCTGCCAGTAAAGCCAGTGAGGCCAGCCAAATTTTAACCTTTAACTTAGCCTTAGCAGAGTGGATATGTGGCCTGTTTAATCATCCGTACCGACTCTCCTGCCTGAAAAGCAGAAAGCAGGTTTAAGAGTTCAAAGTAGGTCAGGGCAGGGTGAACATTAGTGCTACCTGTCAGGCTTTCTTCTAGATTTATGTGGCCTAATTTTCAGAGCGGAAAGCAACAACAGGTGGAGGCATTTTTTAAAATTAGAGCTGGGCTTCTGCAGGACTCTTTGCAGCCTTTGTGGTTGCTCCAGATTTTCAAATGTTTCTGGTTATGTTGCAGTTTATAAATATATAAGTTCATAATTTATAATTTGTCTACCAAAACTCACTTTTCCATTTTCCTTCCCCCCTTCCAGCCTGTGAGCTGATGAACCAGGGCATCCTGGCGTTGGTGACCTCTACTGGCTGCGCCTCAGCGAGCGCCCTGCAGTCCCTGACGGACGCCATGCACATCCCACACCTGTACATCCAGAGGAACAGCGAAGGATCTCCTCGCACTGCCTGCCAGTTCAACCCGAGCCCCGGCGGGCAGCGCTACACGCTGGCCGCCCGGCCGCCCGTACGCCTCAACGACGTCATGCTGACGCTGGTGGAGGAGCTGCGCTGGCAGAAGTTCATCGTGTTTTATGACATCGAGTACGGTGAGTGAGCGGATGATTATCTCATTTTAAGTTCCTGTTAATGGTCTTTGATTGAGCCACACAGAAAGCTTACAGCAGGGGTGGGGAAGTCCAGGCCTCGAGGGTCGGCGTACTACAGGTTGTAGATGTGTCCTTGATCCAACACAGCTGATTTAAATGTCCTGAAGTTCTCCAGAGGCCTGATAATGAACTAATCATGTGATTCAGGTGTGCTGACCCAGGGTGAGATCTAACACCTGCAGGACACCGGCCCTCGAGGCCTGGAGTTGGACACCCCAGGTTTAGGGGCATGAATGGAACTGTTGGAAGCTGTGGTCTCGTTTGGGATCAAACTGATCCTGATCCTGCTGAAATCTGTCAAATGTGGTAACGCTGCTGGTTATATGAACAGCTGCAGCCTCGTGGAGAACATCAAACTTCTCCACTTCCAGCGTCAGTGGCAGCTTTAATTGGCTCGCTTTCTCAGCTTTCTGCAAGCCTTGTTTAGTCTTCCAGTGAGAAGATTTGCACTTTTCCCTCAGTGATGGATTCGATGCTGTGCCATTTGCAGCTTCATGTGCTGATTTTTCCTCCTTAATGCTAAAACATCAGTGGAATTTTCCCCAAAAACATTGCATTATATTCTTGGAATCTGTTGGTAGTCTTATTTCTAGATGTCTGACTGTATTTCTTGCTGCTGCTGAGATGAGGCTGTTGGTATTTGAACTCTGCTGGGTGCCTGTTTCTCCTTTGGGTTTCAGCGGTGAGGATCCTTTAATGCCCTATCTCAGACCAAGTATCGTAGCGTGGGGCCACGGCTCCTTGATGAGTAACCTGCTCTTTTACACTGTGTGATACGTGCCTGGATTGCTCCCTCTGGCAGTCACAGCTACTCCATCTATTTTTGGGCTTCGTAATGCAAACAGCATCAAGCTGCAGCGTTTGAGAGTGTGATCTCTTTATAGCCGGCGGTATCATTTTATTTCAAGAACACAAATAACCTTGTTCATCTGAACAAAAATGGATTTCAGTTCAAAACTCTGTTTCCATAAGTTGCTTTCAGCTATGGCCTCTCTGCTTTTGTTTAACATTTACCTCCCGTTACTCACATGGGACGCATGTCGACATAGAATTGGAAAACCATTAGGAATAACTCCCGACTACTTAAACGATTTTCGATGTGTCTGCGTCAGAATGCTGGAACAAAAACTTTTTTAGATCGACTCAGCTGCCCGCCGGATTTGTTTGGAATGGCTCGGTTGGACTGTATCTTAATGAAATCACATTAGGCTCAATGGATTTTTGAGCGTAATCAATAGAGGATGGTGGCAATTACAATATAAGGATATAGACAGATGCAGGCATTTAGCTTCTCGGATACTCTCATCCAGAGTGATTTAGAGTAAGTGCATCAGTAACTGCAGGCCAGGATCTGAATCCTTTATTAACGAACCGGCAACTCAGTGAAGAATGAGACCAAAAGGCAAACGTGCAGCTGCACAGCGTAACGCAGCTGCAGGCGTGCTTTCTCAAATACCTGTTTCAAAACTACCTGCAGTATTAGCTCATACAGAAACTTCACAGACCTCAGAGATGGTGATTGGTTGGCTTGGTAGGTTCAGGGTGGTCAGTGGCGCTGCAGACCACGCCCCGACAGACACATTAACCAGGTGAAATAAATATTTATTCAGATATTTTGAAATATTTATTTTTCATTTTTTTAGCAGTTAAGTGATTTTTTCCAATTATGTTTTAAAATTCAGGTCAAGGCTGCGAAATCCCAAAGGTGATACAAGCATGACGGCTCACTACAGCTTTTGTTTGGTCTATGAATAATTTAAGTTAAACTTTTTAATTTTAAGAGTTCAAAATGTGTTCATTACATAAATAAAATAAAATTTTCTCTGTAGCACTTCATGGATTTGACAAGCAACACACTTTAGGTGTTTTTCTTTTCCATGGAAACTGGGTCCAAACGGCTCTTTGGGTGCTAAAGGTTGCTGACCCTGGTGTAGACGATCCACTAAAGAATGGATTTAACAGACTTTTGCATCTTCAGAAAAGATGGGACGCTTTGTAAAATGTAAATAACAACCATGCTTACCAAATCTCATGAACGTCAGATCTTATAACACCACATAGAAAACTCATATTTCATACAAAATATTAGCTGAATTTGATAAAAGCAGTAAAATCTAAAATAAATAAATGTAATGGGGGCAGAAATGAAGTAGCGCTAAAAAGAAACAGCTGGACGAACATTTTTCAGCTAATTACGGTAAATTTTCTCACTTTAAGGATTTAATATGTTTTCTCCGTTTTATATAAAATATGATTTTATGATATTTGCAAGTCATTTGTCCCAACAGCTTCGGGTTTGGAACACCTCCCATCGTGGAGGGAGGGTTAGGGTTCAGTACAGAAAGTCCTGCAGAGCGTGGAGCTGTCACAGGCTGCAACACGTGCTGGCTGCACTTCCTCAACACTAAACCGTCCATGTGACAGGAACCACCCCAACCTTAGCATGGCTGTCACGGTTGTGACTCTGAACGTTGCTCCGAGTGAAAGGTCTGCATTAGTTAGCGCAACTGGACGACGTGAAAAACTATTAGTGGA